TATTCAAATTATACACATGGTAATGCAGTGAAATTATTTGAAGCTGTTTAGAATAATTTGGACAAAAACAATGTATTTAACTAAATAGCTAAAACTATAATTTAATAGCTAAGAAAATATAAATATATATATTATATAATAGTTAAATATATTACTAAATATATTTAACTAAATAGCTAAAACTATAAAACAATGTATTTAACTTAATAGCTAAAACATACAGTATTCTTGTAAATATTAAAATAACTTGATAATTTTCTGCATGTATTGATAATGGAATATCAGAAACAATTTTGTCTCTCAGAATATGATCTAGAACTCATATTGAACCAATATAGTTTAAGATTTGTTTAGAACTCTGCATGAATGCAATATTGAATTGTGATTAATATAGTGACAGTCACTATACATAATATAGTTTAACACTACATTTCTTTACATCATATGGTTGAGAATATTTATCTGAAATTCCTTTCAAGCTTCACAATTTAAAAATTTGGAGTTTCAACTTGTTTGTGTCTTTATAGGAGGGACCTTTTATTTTATAAAATTATTGCTTTTGTGAAATAGTATAATTAATATAAAATTATTACAATAATTATAAAATTATTTATTTTGTGAAATATACTTGCAGGACTATTGTGAGAAGACAACTTTTTTTTTTAAGTAGGAATCAAAATTTCCTTCCTGTTTTTCTATAAATAGTCAGAAACGATAAAGTTTTAATACCATTTCAAAGTAGTTGAAATCGAGTAACACAGTCATATAAAATATTATAGAAGCGTGTAAAAGTGAAATTAAAAAGTGCGACTATGTTCTATGTAGTCAAGGACGGAGAAAAAAGAGCGACTTGCGAGGTTGATGGCGTGACCCACTACGACGGGAACTTCTTTTCTCCAAAATCTAATCCGAGACTACAATGTATCTGCATGCCTGGATACACAGGTATAAAACGAGTTTAATATTCCCGTGAGATGAGAATTTGAACTTCCAAAAACAGGATTCAATCATACAGTCAGTTATGAAAGACTGCATCTACAAATTTCCAAAACGAAAAGGAAACAAGTATTTTTTAAACGTATTTATTTATTTTATTTTATTCGATATTTTGTCTCCTGGATTCTTAGCCATTTTTCTTTTTTTTAAATTTTACTTGATATTTTATAATATATGCTGCTAACGAATGAAAAATTCATAAATCATAAATTAATGAAATGAAATAAATTCATAAAATTCGTAAATAATAAAATAATTGTAACGCGCGAGAAGAAATGAAATAAAGTATTCAAGCTTTAGTAAATTTGACAAAACAAGTTGAATATAATTGAATCGAATAATCAAAACTAAAGCTACTCAAATCATACACTGGATCACGAAAAAAAAAAAAAAAA